GCTTTCAAGCACTACCACGTTATGCTGCCACAGGGCAGCCCCAGGAGCTGAGCTCAAGCAGCAACCAGTATCAGCTTTCACCCTCCCATCTTCAAGAGCACATATCATCATAATTTCCTATGACAGAAAAAAATAAAAAAGATGGAAACTGTTCCTCACCTACACAGACTGCAGAGAGAAACAGACGGAGACTGTCAAAGATGCTTTAGTGCAAAAGAACCAAGATGGTGACGCCAACCTTTCCATCCATGTGTGAGTTTTGCTGTTTGGTTTCAGAAAGTGGGAAGCTGCACCATTAGAACAAAGCCAAAAAGCATCCCTAAAGAAGCAATTCTGACACTTCCAGTCCACAGGTCTAGTATCAGCCTGCAAGTCTTGACCTACACATGAAAACTGCTGAGTGTATTCTCATGTCATATTATTGCACCCCTGAGCACAAGAGGCATGAAACTTTAGAGCACAGGTAGGAGTAAGGTCTAGAGGACAGCATTAGGGGAAGAGTCACTCCCATTTAGAAGGAGCACAAAGTCACATGAGGCCTACGCACTCGGACATCTCCAGGGATTTCGGCACGCGCTCCACTTCTGCAAAATGGGACCTCACAGCTGCATCGTCCCCTCTGAGCCAACTGATTGCCATTGCCACCGCTGCTGACCACCATCTGCACACCACGTCGGGCCCTGTGAAACAGAATCATAAGCTGCAGCCCAGGAGTAGATAACAGGCTCTTTCCTGCTCAGAGCAGTGGGCAGGTGTCACACGCCCTTGCTGGTGCCTTGTGCTGAGATTGATGCTAACGAGCCCAAACCAGTCTGCCACAGGAATTCAGCCATCCAGGTAAATGCTGAAATGTGCTGCAGAAACGCAGAGGAGGCAGTAGGCAAACACCCTGCATCTGGCTGCGAGCAGAGTTTTGGATGCTGAGTTTGTGTCTTGTCAACAACAGCTTACCCCGTCTACTTGTCTAGAAATCTGCTGACTTCTTTCATGATAAGGACCTCCACTCAATACCCTAAAACAACAACTCCACTTGTGCATATCGTCCCTTGGCACTAATTGCCATCAAGCCAGTAAACCAGGGCCCCTGTATAATTTTCTCTATTACCTAACACTCCCTCAAAAACTTCCCAAAGCCTACCTAGGGCCAAAAGACACATGCTCTGCTACTCTGACCTGCTTTTAAATTTCATTACAATATCAACCCAAATATAGACTTCCCTTTATATCAGAAAATAACTCCCAGAACAAGAAACAGGTTTTCCTTCTATGCTTGCTCTACACATTTTAGGTACAGCACAGCCAGTCTGTGTCAAAAGCTCCAGGAGCATCCCAGTGAACTGCTAGGTGCTGTCTGTACCAACACCAAGCAAGACGAACAGTCCAGCAACCCACCACCAGCCAAGCCCAGATAAGCACATGGCTCACAGGGAGTCTGCAACTCTCTAAATACATACCCACTAAATACATACCGAGGGACCAAATCAAGTGCGTCCCAATATATGCTCAGTTTGCCCACAGCAGGGGCTTGCAGGTCTCTGGAAATTGAGCAATATACATGACAGCTGCTGTGAAAGTGAGGTCAACCTGTATTTGGTCCAACAGGTAACGAAGTAGAAGAAGAAACCTTCCTGTACTTCAATAGCAACACTGCTATGCTTGGTTTTGATATGCTACACCCTTCCTCTTGCTTTGCGGTGCCAGAAGCAAGTTCTCAGGAGAGGGCACAGGGTTCAGCTTGGAATGTGCCTGGCAGTGCAAACAGCAGCAGCCCCACCTGAGCACTTAGAATTACGACACATGGACAAATTTACAAGCCTTTCCCAATCACCCACTTCCAGTCTGAGCACACTGTGGTGCGCTCCTGCTCTGCAATCATGTCTTACTCCAAGGACCACATTTCTCCTCGCCTGGAGTTTCAGAGGTGGTGGGGAGAAAAGAAACACAATTCAGCAGTAGTTCCTGCAGCTGGAATAGCTTTGGTTTTGCCAGACTTACCCAGGGCAGACTTGAGTACAGAATTGTTGGCAAAGGGTGGGGCTCCACTTCCCATTGAGTCCAAGAAAGAGTTGAGCAATTTCAGGTACTCCATGGCACCGGAGAACTCACTGAAACAAGAAGCAAGGCAGACCTTTGTTATGCTGTCAAACAGGAGATACTAAGGCCTGAAGGCATTTCTCATCAGTCACAAGGGATTTTTAAACAACATTGACCCATTAAGGCAGCACAAAAATTCAACACAATGCTGCCAGACTGAAGAGACTGGCCTGAGAGTGGAAGCCCACACACAGATACTCAGGGAGGAGCAGCCTCACATCTCCTCCCCATGCAAGGAGGCCAGCACAGAACTAGAGCCAACCCTGGTAGCCTCATCTCAGCTACAGACATGCTGGACATGACATACATTACAACTTGACTATAGGCTCCTTTTCAATCATTGCCTCCAAAAGAAGCTGAACTACACTTCTGCAAATGACTATTTGCATATATGCAAATATACATGCACACAAGTGACCACATGTTCAGTGCTGGCCAGAGAAAGCAGCATATGCAGCAATGATCTAGTTTCCTGGGACGTGCTACAGAGGAAGATCTTGAGCTCCTGCCCCAGGAGGGGGACAAAAAGCCTTGCTGTAGTACTCAAGCTAGTCCTTCCCATGAGGTGACAGGACTCCCACAAGTATCTTGACCATCCACACCACTTATACAAAGCCTGCTACCTTCTCTCATCATCAACAGCAGCACCTGATCACAGGCATTTGCACCATGCAAGCAATTAGACCAAACTGCTGCTCACTCTGCAACAATGCTAGAAAACACACGCGAGGCTGAAAAAAAACTAGTATTTTTCCTACATAGGCGGGGAAACTGGGTTATCTTCCCAGTTATTTGAAGATTTTACCCACACTTTTGGGGGACAGGATCCTTGCAGAGCTTCTCATGTATATATGTAGCATTTGTCTGGCACCAGCATATCTGAAGATCAGCTACGAACAGAGTGGAATTGCTGGCAAAGGCTGTGGCTTCGCTCCACATGGAATCCAGGAGAGAGCTGGACATATTTCAGTACAAAAAGCTGCTCTGATTCCCATCTATCAGTCCCTTTCATTTGATCACAGACCTCAGAGGCAATGATAATTTCAGCCAACACCAGCTTGCCATGTATTCAGGAATAAGCCAGTAACTACGCCAACTGACATCAGAAACCCTCACCATGCCCAAGTTCACCTTTGACTTCAGGGGTTTTAATACGAAGAGGCAGAGCTTGCTCTCCTAGTATGCTGTGGTGGCCAGATTTACGTTGTCATTTCAAGTCTTTAATAAGGACTAACCACTCAGTTTGCCCGAGAGACCTCGGGTCAGTGGTTACGAGCTCTGCCTCAAAGCCTGCAGCTGCAGCCAGCACAAAAACTTACCACGGCTCCTCCTCCTCTTGCCCCGCTATCTCTTTCCTAGCCTGAGGCTTCACGAGTGAATCCACTGCTCGCTCTAGCAGGTTCTCACAAAAAGCCTGGTGAACTTGTGCTATAGGATCCGCTAGAGAAGACAGAAAAAAAACCAAACAAACCAAATCGTTTCACTTACATACAGTGATAACTGCCTCTCAAGACAACCAAAAAAACGACTCAAAATGTAAGAACAAAAGCAGCAGAGGGAAATCTTTGAGCAATTAATGCAAAGACTTAGGTTTTCTGAGCCTTTTTACCTCTTTAATCCATTTACAAAGCTGCAGCCCTTGGCCAAACACCCCTCTCATGCTTCAGCCACTCAGCAAAAGTGATGCCACTACTCGGCAGAGGTTAAACCTTGGGTCACCCCACAGTCACGCCTAAACGTTCAGGGCCACATCCAGGTTGTGTTCCAGCACACAAAGACACAAGCAAGATGACATGGCACAGTATACAAAGGGAAGAGAGCCAGCTCTGGCAGAGTGAGGGAACATCTCTCAGCTCCATAGCCCCTCTTGCATGCCAAGACCACAAGCAGGGCAGACACGCAAGATTACGCCCTCAAACAAGACACCCAGAGGTGTCTTGTCCCAGAGGTAGAGAGACTGCCAGGCTCAGAGCACTGGGAGGTCACGCACTCAGTACACAAGAGGCTCTCACCAGGGTTCCTTTTGGTGCAGTACAGGCTCTCCTTCGCAGCAGACTTCACTGTCCAGCTTCGCTCCACAAAAAACTTCTGTCCCAGTGGGTGGCACAGCCAACGCAACGAGTCGGGAATGGCACTCCGCTCTGAGCTGCACAGGCTTTGAGCCTGGCTCAGAAAGTAGCTCTGGGGAAAGGAGAGGCTAAGATTGAGAACAGCAGCCAGGGAAACTGACACACCACGTGGGACAAAGGTCATATCGCAATTACAGCTTCTATCACAATTGCAGGCCATATTGTAATTGTAGCGCTAGCAGGTGCCCTGAGCTACGGCAGTGCCACCTTGCAGGTCTTCCTAGAGCTCTGCTTGGAGGTGTGATGGGAGAGGAGATGACAACTCACCGCTAGGAAGCCAAGCTTGCCTCCACAGCGGGTTTTCAAGCCAACCGCGGCTGTCAGGTGGATTTCTGCCATTGTGCTGGGTGGGATCTTTTCTTCTGCGCACTCTGCCAGATTCACAGCACACAGGGCCATGTGCAGGCCTGAGTAAGCTGAGCTGGAGGGAAGTTTACCTGCACCAGGAAGGAAAAACGTTAATTTTAGATTAACATTTAACCAGCTACTAAATACCACCATGATCCACAAGGCTACTGTCCTAAAGAGACAAGCACCTGTTGACATGAAAAGTTTACAACACCATGTGCCTACTCTGTATTCATGCAAGAAAACAACCGTAAACGAGACTTCCCTCCACAGATACCAGGCTGACATCCACAGTTTCACCTCTGCAAGAAAGCCCTCTATAGCTATAAAAGTTAGGATAAAATCATCAGCAAATTTTGTCTCACTATATTCATCACTATCTTAAAACTGAACTCCTTCACAATCCACACCTGTTGTACCTACACAGGTCATGTTAAGGACAAACACTTATCCCTGACAGCATGGCTACAATTCACAGAGCACAATTAGGCAGAAGGACGTTTAGCATGGATTTCTGTTGTGCTCTGAGCCTCTTAACGCTGCAGGTTGGTTTGCCAAGGAAATGGCAAAAACAGCCATTCACAAGGAACATTCAAGCACTTCCTCAGTACATGTGCGCACACCCAGGTTTTCAAAGCACATTAACGCCAACTGGCAATCTGCACTCTACACAGCTTCGGAAATTTAAATTCTTTCAGCAATTAACCCCTGGCCTGCTTCCACATCACGTTCCCAAGCGACAGTGATCAAACAAGCCCTTAATAGCAGCAACAAGTGACTGGACTCAGTCAACTGCTGCTTGGGAAAGACTCTCAAGCACCTCTGCAGGCTCAAGAACACATAACTCAAGACACTGCTGTTGCTTCGGCCATTCTAACAGAGCTCTTTTATTGCGTGAACCTGTCATGTTTTAGTCAGCAGCTCTTGAAATGTGTCAGCAGCCTTCTTAGAGGAAGGAGGCCATAATGCTCTTCCTGTTACCCCCGGGATGAATTCAGCACCTCCTCATTTGGCAAAACGAGGACTGCAGGTCTGCTACCTCTGATCCTACCTGTTATGTGGAGCTGATGGAGCTTGTGATACGCTAGAGCTGCATCGCGAGCGCTGGTCTTGGCCTCGTCCTCAAAGCCTGCCGTGGCCTCCCTTGCCCGCCACTGATGAGAAGTCCTCTTCAGCAGCCACCGCACCAGCGCCAGCTTCTGCAGGCTATAGCGGATCACGTTCCAGGACAGGCTGCAGGCCAAGTCCAGGCGGGAAGCTGGCAGTGCCCGGCCCAGTACTGACAGGCAAATCTGCAGATTTGACGCGGCTGCAGCAAAATCCCCCTGCGAATGACATGGCAAATGGTTTAACAACGAAAAGCACCGTCATGGAGACACTTTGGGACATTCTTGGTATTGGGAACACGCTGACATGCAAGCTAGGACAAGATTTTTAGCTGAGGAAATCAACATAGTCCCAGTAAACATGAAGATAATTTATGCTAGATCTTTCCACACATGGCTCTAATTCTTCACTGCCTGTGAGACACATCAGCACCAGGTGAAAGGAGATTCCTGCTATCTCAAACAACATCTAAGTTTTGGGGTCCCCATATCAAAAGATAAATATTGCCTCAACAGTGGAAAAGAATTTCAAGAGGCTGAAGGACAGCAACCACACAGACACAGCCGAGGCCAGATTCCAGACTGAGACCTAGACCTTGCTATGGGACATAGCAGCACGGAACAAGGGCAGAAGTTAGGAGCCTCTTCCAATGCTGACATCTATGCCCCACTCTGAGGGAGTACAGCAATCTGACAAGACAACTAGCACCAGCTTCTCTGAAGCCAGACATGATAATCCACTTGAGGAACACCACATGCTCTTGCAAGCGCCAACTCCCTAGGCCACTTTCATCCACCCCCTCCTCCAAGATGTCTTTGATGCAAAACAACAAGTTGACTTTACCCGTGCCAAATCCAGGTCTGCTTGCTTGCGATGCCTCCAGAACGTGACCGATGACCTCGAGTGCAGCCGGGTCACTGGCTCTCCGTGCACAAGGAGCTTTACGAACACACTCAGCACAATCACCCCGTTCACGAGCCACAGGATCAGCGTGGGCATCATCCAGCCAAACCAACCACCCGCATCTGCAACGGACATCCCAAAAGGAAAGTTAATCCAGACACCGAAAGCCTAGCAACAGGACAAGGACAGAGCCAGAAGGATATCTTGCCAGGCTCGCTACATGCAGTATCAATTTTTGCAAAGACTGCATTTTAATCAGGAAACATCTGTATCAACAGCTCTTCATCCAAACTCCAAGCCACAGTATTTCCAACTAAATAATAATAGTTATTTTTACAAGATCAATTTTTTTTTAGAAAAAAAAAACGACACCTGAGTCAGCACTTAATTTTCCTAGAGTACCTTGTATTCTGATTTTCTATCAGATACACCCACGAGTACTCCATACTTCGGTGTAATTTTCTAGTCTTAAATAAGTTTACAAAGTGACACCAAGGAAGCATATTTATCAGTCAGGGAAATGACAGCATGCCTACAGAATCCTCTGCCCTCCCATAAGCTGCTGTATTTTATGGAATAAGCACACGCAACAACTCAGCTGCAAGACCCTCTAGCAACAGTGTTTCCGAAGTAATAAACTGGTGCAGAATTACTAAGTTACAAAAATCAGTTACCTTAAAAACAAATATAAAATGAACTTTAAGACTGGTGTGGACAGAAGGACGTTCCTTGCTCTGAACTACTTCTCAAGGATCTATCCCCTAGAGCCCAGGCTTCTGGGCTACAAATGGGTGCTCCCTTCACTTCGCCATGCCGAGCAACGACTGGTTTTGTGCAATAAGAACACTGGATGTGGAAGTAAACTGGAACCGTCTCCAAGCGTCTTGGGTTGGCTCTCCTCCCGTGCCCTGCCCCGCAGTTACTACCACACCCCAACCATTAAACAAAAGTTGTACAACTCCCTGAACACACAGAACCATCCTACTGAATCACACCAACACTCCATCTCGTGACCTGCAGCCGTCACAGATGGAGATGGTTTTCAAGGGAGACGGTGCAAGTCTGGCCACTTTCTGTGGTCCAAGCTATCCCAGCTCCTTACCCGACTCAATCGTCAGCACGTTCCTGCCAGAGCCATGGTGCACCAGGCTGTCAGACTCCGGGGTACCTCGTGCATCCAAGAGGGATGTCAGAGGATTGAAGGAAAGGCAAAGGAACGTGAGAGCACAGAGGAGTATTCGAGAGCGATCCACCATACCAAGGGCCACAGGAGGAGAGTCAGGCTCATCTTTAACCTTCAAAGGAACAGAAGTGGAGAGAAACGTAAGAGGAGGAAAAATAACGCTTACTATTCCGCAGAACAAAAAAACGCTTACGCTGAGGGCGGGTAGAGGAGCAGAAATAAAACATTTAAAAATTTGTTTTTAAGAGTGAGATCAGCAAAAACTCCAGTGAAGCTTTCACTAGCTTAGTAAGTTGTGGGCTGAAGTATTTGAGTGCCTTCACCTTCCCTCTGCTCCCATTCATTTCAGCTATCATTAACCACATTACTGGTTCAGGCTAGAATTAACCTTTTCTGCCCTTACTGTTTTGCGGCTCTCCCAGAAGACCCGTTTCCGTGATATTCACAAAGCTAACAACTTTCCATTACTGTGGTTACTTACAGCCTTGTTAACCACAGCTGATGTCACCATCCATTTCCAAGTTCTGCTTTATTCACCGCGCATATATATCCCTGGAAAGTTGCTGGCTCTTTGGGTCCTGAACACACACTAAGTCCACAGAGACTCTACAGAGGCTGAAGGCCAAGTACAGTTTTTCTAGCAGCTAAGGTATATGACTCAAATAATACAGCTCAGGAAGCAGCCTCAACCATTTAAGAAAAGATAGAGCACCTTCCTCATCCTTGCAAAGGACCTCTGACCCCTACAGATCTGCTTGCCAGATGTCCACTGGTTCTACTCCTGAGAATTAGGAGAATTTAAATTCTGGCCCTTACATATCCCTGAAGCAGGTGCCTTGAATTTGACAACTGAAGTCACAAATACCTTTGCATCATCAAGGAGTGGGCTTCCTGGCTCGGAATCAATGGAATAGGGAGAGAAGCCAGCCTGGGATCCCGAGTCAGAGGCTGGAGGAGACATCAGCAGCACGTTCTGGTTGAAGTCATCTATCTTCAGATCCACATCGTTGTCAACCAGACTGCTTAGGTCAATGCCCTTCAACAGTTCTGCAAAAAAATCAGAATGCATGAGGTACATGTTTGTCAATCCTGCATCCTGCTGACGTCGCTCAGATTGGCTCTGTCAGCTGCAGTAACACTTGCCACTATTGATGCAACGTGCATGTTGGCTACCTCCATCAAGGAGAAGAAGCTGCAAGAGGCACTCTACGTTTATGCTGACTGCCTATCCCTGGCTGCACAGCCCCCACAACTTACTGTTTTTTTGGTTAGCCAGCTTCAGAACCATGTTCTCCTGCCTCAGCTTATGGTTGGCCTGCTGTAGGTATTTAATGTAATCAATGGCTTTTCTCAGGACTCCAGATTTGTGCATCTGCAAGGAATTAAGATGTACAGAAAGCAGTTTATATGAAGAGAGTCAATGGGTTGCTCCTGCTTATAGGGAGCTTGTATCATGTATTAAGAGAAAGCAAAGCATGTAAAGGACTACTCAACTCAGTAGCTGCAAAGAAACTAGTAATGAGGCACACTTTGTGGACAAGGTATCGGAATTTGAAACACATATAAGGTCTTTGAGAGACCCCAGTCCTTCTATAAACACTACAATGCAAAAAGATTAACATCCAAATTACAGTAGAGTTCACGTCTAGGATTCAGCCAGAAACAGTCCTTTGAAAGTACCGCAGTTTTGAAATGAAAGTGGCTCTTTCTGGGATGGAACAAGCTGCATTTAACCATTGTTGTAGGAACATTTAATGGCTCAGAGTCCTCTGCTTCATAGTTATGCATTGGCAGACCACATCAAATCACTGGCACAATGTAAATATTTCTGTATAGAATCATTGAAATAAGACAGGCATCACACCGCCATTAGTGCAGGAGCTCTTAACCATCATTCACTGTTTAATTCTGAGATAAAATGGTTCTCCTTGCCTCACTCCACTGGCCAGCTCCAGGAAAATAGTTGCTTCAGGCAGTAGGAAACACATTTAGCTTATAAACATAGTACCCAGAGTACTATGAAGCCACTGCACATTACCAACATTTTTAAAATGTCAGCTTTCAACTCCACCCAGTAATAGGAGGTGACTTCACTGGTGCACATATCTGTATGGAGACCATGCAAGGTATCAAGAATGCTACTCCCTGCTCTGCCACGATGAGGTAAAGTGAATAGCACAACCCTGAATACATGGTGGCAGAATCTTCTAAAATTTGAGCAAGGAGGAGTTTTTACAACTCACATCTACAGAAAACAAATTGGAGAGTTCTGGAAACCCTCATCCCTACTGCAGTCACATGGAAAAGGAAACTTAAGTTACACAAGCTCTGGTTTGGCTGAGTTATCGGGACATCTGCTCGGATTTTCTACCTAAAAGGCCTATTTAAATTAGACACATAAAAGAACAAACACATAAGGTATAGCTTATTTTCAACAACCACTACCACTAGGATAGCAAAATAAACATTTTACAGGTGATCCTTCCTGAATACAGTTATCAAGCCTTTCATCACCAGTCTTATCCCAACACACACGTGCATACTAGTAACAGTCACGCGTACCCAACTGCTTCTTTTGGTAGAGCTGCAAGCACCTGAAGACAAAGTATTTATGACACCAGATTTACTCTTATTCCACATCTTTACCTTGGCATCTGTCCCCATGACAAGGTCCTTCAGCTCAATGATCTTGTCATTTATGGATGACCGGTAACGCTTTTCAATTATGTTGTGAGTTGTTCTCCTCTCTCCTTCTTTAGGTGGCTCTGGTTGCTTGACACCGCCAGGAACTTGTTTGATAGGCACCTTTTCTTGTCCCACCATCACTGGCATTGTGGTCAAAATGGTCCCGTTGCTCCCAACAAGGGTCTAAAAAGACCATGCACAATGAGCATCACCGGCAAGATAAGGTTTATGATGGTAAAAGAAAAAAGAGTAAGCAAAAGAAGAACCAGGAAAAGTTTGTACAGCTCAGAGAAGAAGAGGTGTGCTAGTTTCCTCCTATCTTCCTTAGCTGTCAGGAGCACTGGCCCAGCAGCACTGGAAAAGTCTGCCATTGCCTCCCACACTGGTCACTGAGGAGTAAGAACATCTCTTCTTCTCCAAAAGCACTGACATCTTTCTGCCAACACCATGCTCTGGTCATCCACTCAATAGAAAAACAGATCAAGGCTCCTCTCCTTGCTCCTACAATCCTTACACTCAAAGTGTCCAAATCCACCTTTCCTGGCGGCAAATAAAGTCATCAAATCAGCAACAGGCAGTGCTGCTTCCAAACTGGTACTGGTAATGTTAGCAAGGACCCAACTATGTAAAAAATAAACTTGAACTTTTTTATATAAAAATAGAAATAGATCCATACAGTATAAAAATGCTCTAATGAGAAACTAAGGTAATGAGCGATACTGGTATGAAAAACTTAAACTTGGACATCCAGATGGAGGACAGACCGTCTACATCAAACTAAAGTAGTATTTCCTCTGTGATAAAAGACAACCAATCCCACCAGAACAGTTGCACAAAGGGATTTCTAGGACAGCTGGAGTGAAGAAAGTTCATGCCGCTTAACCCAGCAAAACAGGATTGAGAAGGGTACACTCCTTCTCTGAAGTAGACCAAAACCCAGGGAAGTGGTTCTGGAGAGGAAGTGTTATTTCTGTCAAAAGACTGACTAATATAAATGAGAATAAACTAGCTACAAGCAACTTAAGGAACAATTTTGACCTTGAAATCGTCTTCTAAATGGGCTGTTGGAAATTAATTTACTTTCATTTCAAGCTTGAACTTGGCAAATAAGTGAATTAACATCCTACACCTTTCCTTGGCTAGTTTCTACCAGATTTCAGTGTGTTCAAAATGCTTTATGGATTGTGTCTCAGACAGACACAATCACATAAGGCTCACCTCTGTGTGAAAAATGTCACTTAAAAGCAAGTGGGTTAATTGGAGATTTTAGTCTGGCTGCTAGCAAGCAGTTAAGAAGCCATGTGCTACGCAAAAGAAGTCAAAACATAAGTCCAGACTTGCAAGTTTATCTCCCCCAGTAAATGCTTATACAGAGATATCTGTTCAGAACATATATGATCGCCATAAACACATCTTTGGGGGCACGAGTTTCTCAGAATTGATAAGTCAAGCTCACAAAGAACCATCTCCAATGACTATACTGAAAAGCCCTCTGAAAATTAGCTCACTTAGTTTTCACATTCATCATAGTTTTATGAGACACTACTGCGGTGGAAAAGAAAGTTCCCCAGGTATTCCGAGTGAGTTAGCTTTCACTTCCACATATCTTCCAGAGGTTAAAAAACTGGATGAAATTCTTAGGTCATATTCCCCTCCTTCTAATGCCAGAAAAAGGTAAACACAAACATGACCTTGGTCTTTGCTTACTGGCCATGAGAAGCTGCCAAGAAAGTACAATCTGTGTGTTTAGCCTTGGCAGAAACAGGGTATTATTCACTCTGGATGTGCCTAGAGTAGCCCTGAAAACCCCTCCCATCTGCACCACCACAGAATAACAAAGCCCAAATCTCTTCCTTGCATTAAGAGGAAACGACACCAGTGGGGAGAGGGAAGGAAGAACATCACCCGCACGGTACCTGCAGAGCTGTGGTCTGAATGGGAGCAGTGAGAGCTGTCAGCGCTGGGTTCTGTACTGCAGCCATAACAGGATTACCGTCCGCTTTGAGGGTTGTCAAGACAAGGGAATCCGTTTTTATGATCTGAGGTTGGACCAGAACCTAGGTTGAAAAGAATTACAGGTGAAGGGGAAAGTAGGCACACACTTCTCTGCTAGTCTCCAGAGCTAGAGGTAAACGGTGACAGAGCTGTAAATTTACATCTCAGCAGATGGCAAAACAGCAGGGTGAGTTATTTCTTTCACCTCATGCCCTGCATCACCTGGATGGGTTTTGGCAGCCCCTGGTGAAAACTCTGACCATGAGCCACTCCAAACAGCGCTGGAGGGAGGGGAGCAGAGGAACCACTAGGACAGTGGTTTTCAAATCAGTCATCAGAAGTAGTAAGTGAGCATGTAAAAATCCAAAAGAGCTGATGGAAAAGCTTCCTTCCCCTCTCCAGTTACACCTATAACTAGGTCTCTACATTAACTAGTTGAGTACTCCAAGTCTATCATGGCTGGGGCAGCCTGCTTTGGCAAATACCTGTAGGCACTTTACCTGCCTCAAATTTCACTGAAAAGATCTGTACTATGAATATTAAAACCAACTCTAAGTTATTTTCCCCTAACACACCTTGCCCTTATTTTTTTCAAATACCTCACTGACTCTCAAATGCAGAGAACACTACAGATAACACAGGTCAAATGAATCATTGCAACTTTGTTGCACTGAGAAAGTCCCCTAGCCATAACAGTTTTTAGCTAATACAAAGAAACACAAAACTTTTTCAATCTCTGGTGTTTTTAAAACAAAAATCACATAACCCTGTAGGAGCAAAAAGATCAAAGAAACTGTGGCAGAATTGGAAGAAAATATTTTGGCATTAGCTGGTCCTTCCAAGACATGATAGAGGCTGAGTCACAATCCCTGGAGGTATCTAAAAGATGTGTAGGTATGGTGCTCAGGAACACGGTTTAGTGGTGAACCTGGCATCACTAGGTGAACTGTTGGACTCGATCATAAAGGTCTTTTCCAACCTAAATGATTCTATGATTCTAGAATTCACAAGCCAATAAAAGGCAGTGAACTTGCAAAGAAGTAAGTAAAAGTCAAAGACACCTTGTTCAAGTAAGGTTTCCAACCCGGTTTGGCAGCACCAAGTTACAAAAATATTTTAGATCAAGTTTAGTTGTGCAGGTCTTTCAATGAAAATGGGTTCTGAATGTTTCCCAGTACCTGAAGTCACATCATGGTTCTCAGCAGGGACTCTCACACATGATTTGTGCCAAGTGTGTTCTGGCACACAGGCTGCCCAGAAATAGTTCTCACACATAAAGTTTGTGCAAAACCAATCCCAGTCAGGATCACTGGCCCCTACAAACTTCACTGCCCTTTCCCTGACAAGCCAGGAGACCAGACCCTCACAAAAAAATTCTCCTTTAACTGGATCCCTGTATTGCTCCACGTTTTTACTTACTGGAACTTGCTGGACCTGTGGTGCAGCAACCGTCTGGACCGTGGCCGGCGTTAAGGTCTGGATGGTGCCGTTGGCAGCCTGCGTTAGCACTCGCTGGGCCTGCACGGTCTGCACTTGCTGCTGGATGGTGACAGGCTGAACTTGGGAGGATGTCACCAGGCTCTGGACTTGGGGCTGGAGAACTGAAAAGAGGAAGAGATGTCAGGAACAGTCCAGAAACACAGGTCTCCATTTCTGGAGCCTGCAAGTGCTCCTAGCTTCACTCCTCTTCTTCTCAGAGCTTCTCGGTAGTCAGCATTCACCAAGCAGATCCCACATGCTGGTAGGCTTCCAGCTCCTTTGATGCTTCCTGCAAGAGGACACAGCACCTAGAATATCTGCTCTCCAGGAGACAAAGAGGATCAGTGAAGAGAAAATGAAGTCAAAAACCTTTCGTCTTATAGCACAGGACTCATTACTTAATTAACATTACACAATACATCCAACCAGCACTAGCCCACTCTTGCTTGGTGGAGCCTAAAATCCTATTTATCAGGTAAAGAATCAATACCTACTGAAGAAGACAAATGGCATTCACACAGCTCCAGTCATCGTTAAATATCCCGACAAGTATCTCTGCTCAATGCAAGCCCTGCATCCAAGAGCTTGGTAGTTAAAATGCGCCTTCGTCTCAGATTGTCACACAGGACAGATGGGAGCCTCAGGACTGGATTTGCCACATCAGTGGGAGGACAGGGTTGCCAAAACTCCTTTTTTAGACATACTTCTTTCAAGCCTCCCAAGAACCATATGAGAGAAGGCCATAGCAGAGGAGAGAAGCAAGAAGACAACTATCACAACAGGCCACAGAAGAACACTTAAGATCTCACTTAGGATGGTTTCTTACACTCCCCTAATGCCAGATCCACGTAGGCAAAAGGGATGCCCTACAATCAGCATCACAGGAAATGGACCTTCAGGCTTGCTGTGGTCGAGGACGCTTTTGGAGCCTCAGCACTGACACTGTTTGCTGCAAGCGCACCAGGTGCACCTTTAGCCTGAGCACCGGAAAATCACAAGTGCGCCAGGCACCCCCATAGCCTCAGAACCCAGAAATCACAAGTGCACCAGGAGCACCCACAGCACCCCGAAACCGCTACCTTGGAAGCTCGTGCCTGCATTCTGGTAGATGACGGGCTGCTGGATGATCCTGGTCTGGGGCGCAGAGCTGAATGTTGGGGTAATCATCACAGTCTGCTGCTGGAGCTGAGGCTGGAGCGGGGGCCGGGGCTGAAGAAGAGGAGCCGAGCGTGAAGGAGCCGGAGGTGTCGCCTGCGTTGTTTTGACTGGCAGGGTCTGGAGCTGGGGGGAGGCGGGAGCTGGCGGGAAAGGCTGAAGCTGCACCTGGCTGTACGGCCGCTGCAGCTGCGGCTCCAGGGTCCCACTGCTGCTGCCACTGCTACCACCACCATTGCTGCCACCCTGGAAGGTGCTGCACAACTGATCCGAAAACAGATCTGGAAAGTCACCTGCCTGGTTACTGACAAACTGCAGCATCTCTGTAAAAAAAAATAAAAAAGAAGAAAATATGTTCGATGATGTTTTGTCACCCATACACTTTGACACCTGCCGTCACATCAGGGCTCGAACGACGGTGTGCGTGCACAGAAGGGAGCTCTGGGTCCTTCAAAACCTTTAGAGAACATATCACACCAACCTACCAACATTTCCAGAGAGGAAAAGAAGAGATGGCCAGCAGCAGGGCACTGTTCAGGGGAAAAGGCAGGACTCACAATGCTTTCTCAGACTATGAGATCCAAGCACAAACTAGAACTTAAAAGCCATCGCCAATATACCTAAAATATCACAAGTCCCATTCCATCACTGCTCCAGTCTAATCCTTGCAGAAGGAAGAAACTAAGCACCTCCACAATTCCAGCACTAATCATTCTCCCATCCAACTTTTAAGGTGTTTTGAAGCCTCCTACCCCTCCTGCCCCACTGAGTATCTGCAAAAATTAAGAAATCAGATAACTTACCTTTGTTTTATTTTCAAGTATATTAAAAATTGAGGAAAAAACACAGAAGGAAACATTTTATAGAATTGTGGCAGGAGAAATCTATACATGTGTTTAAAACACCACATTAACTTTTTTGTTGTTGGGTTTTTTTCACCTATTTATCCCCTGCCTGTAATCACTGCACAGCAGTTTCCCTCCTCCCCGCCTTCTCCAGGTTTTTAATAGCCCATATCAAGAGGCTCCTACCTCAGCGCTACAGCTCTCCACAACAGAGGAAAAAAAATTCACAACCAAGAGATCATTGTTCATAAGCAAAGCTTCCTCTTCCCCCCATCTAATCCAATTTAATCCAATTACGCACCTTAAGCTACCTGAATGCTTCCCCTGATCTACGTGGGGATGGTGGCATGAGGAGTCACTCATCCTTCGCCACCCCAGGATCTGCCCATGCTCTTCCAAAGCTTTCTGAAAGTCCTGTTTATCTTTTCTCTGGAGGCAGGAAAGAAGGGAGGGGACCCACACACGTAATGGAGGGTTTAGAACTAAAGAATACATTCAGGTTTATAAAGTAGAAAATAGATTTCTAATTTACAGGAGTAAAAAAACCCCAAAACATGACAAAGAGCTCCTTACACCTAGGAGCTTTCTCACCCACAAACCTGAAGGACGTTGCCGCTGTGGTTTATGAAGGGAGTTTGAAGAAACAAGCTTTACACAAAATGGAAATTATCCCAGCAATAAGAGGGCTATTAATTTGCTTCTCCAAAACGCCACCCACACATTATCCAATTAATTTGTCTGACACTGCTGAGACAGAGCTAAGGAATCATCCTCCAAGCTTCTTGCTCCCTCAAATATTTGACGATATTTCTGTACTGCTCCCCTTCTGACAGCAATCGCTGCACACCCTTGCACATATTTAAGCAATTGCCATGATCACTGCTCTTAAGAATTCCTCTTGGATGGAGGAGCTTGGGAGATGTGTCCTATCAAGCTGTTTATAACTCAACAATAAATGGGGACGCAGGATGCCCCCCAACACAGGGCACTGGCCACTCTCATGGACTAGCTGGACCAAACCTTTGTGTCCACTTTTAACCAGATGAATGAAGGATATTTTTTTTAATGCAATGCCTCAGTGAACATTCACAAAACATTACCGAAGCGAGGAGGGCTGTTTAAAGATTAACACTTCCTGCATAAAATCTAGATGGATATTAAGGAGCTTTTCACTCTCCAACCGACTGCATCTAAGACCATCCCAAACAACCCCCAACATGATAAACTTGGTAATCCCAACTGTGTACTTCTCAAACTGTTCATTTGATGGCACTACTATTTCACTGTCAGACAGCACTGCTGCAAGTGAGGAATAAACATAAACTAGATTATATTTGTTCTAGAAGAGTAAATTCCAGTCTAAGAGCCAATTTCAAGTACTGTGTCTTAAAGAACATTGTGTTCAACATGGCAAATCTAGTGTCTTATTAAAAAAATTACTCTTGCTCTCACAAGTTAAATCACATCTTTATCATAGACTTAACTTTCACTAAATGCAAAGAGTCTAAAGATTAATTCTGAAGAATTAGACTGCCAGAGGACCAAACCCACCTCTTTTAAAGTGCCCAAGAGCTTTCCTAGTAGCAACACACGAAAAATAAAAAGTAGGACGAAAAGCAAGATCTAAAGACCAAACTTCTGCCTTTTAGAACACCTTCACCCACACAGAGAACAGAACAAGAGTCCATATGTACTTCAGAAAGCTCAGGTGCTTCTGGAGGACAGTTCTCAGTGATCAATCACAGAATCATATCAGCTGGAAGAGACCTATGAGATCTTTGAGTCCAGTCTTGGTCCCAGCCCTATCAACCTACTAAACGATTCCTCCCAAAACAACATCCACCAGTCTCAAACACCTTCAAGGACGGTGACTCAACTGGCTCCCTGGGCAGCCTGTTCCCATGGCTGACAACCCTCTCAGTATAGAAATTCTTCCTAATACCTAACCTGAACCTCCCCTGGCACAATTTAAATCTATTTGCCCTCGTCCTACCACTCTCCACTAGGGAGAATAGACCAGCCTCTGCCTCTCTTCAACCTCCCTTCAGGTAGTTGCAGAGAGTGATAAACCCAGTTGTAGAGAGTGATAAACCCATTGCTGCCAGATCACTTGCACTCTCTGTGCTGAAGAGGTCCCAGCCCCTAATGCAGGGTGAGACATTATTGCAGAAGAACATCAGCCCAGCCCAAGGCTAAAAAATGTCAACAAAGTGTTAGAAGCCAAGCCCATCGAGGACTTCAGCTGCTTTTATTAGCCCAGAGCCCGAGTAGCTGGCAGAAAGGCAAGGGCTGGGCTTTAGCTGCTCTCCCACAAGGTGAATCAGTTCTCCCACGTGCTTCTGGAGATGCCATGCTTTGAGAAATGGAAAGAGGTGGAGACCCCAACCTTGACTGTAACAACCTCTCTGCCCCAAACCCAGGCATGCTTCACACCCACAACTAGTTTGGACTTCACTCTCTGGCATTACCCTCCCAGCAGGAAGGCGATGATGGAGGAGCTTGTGCTGGGGCAAGAGGCAGAGCCAGAAACATCCAGCTCAGCACCAGGGACTCCCCTGCCCAGGAGCACGAAGCTGGTTAGCACCGACATCCCAGATCTGCCGATGCATCGGCCAGACCGACTAGCACCCTTCCTCCTCCTCTACCCTGGAACACCAACAGCTGTGCAGCAAGCAGCAAGGGTCCCTCAGAACGAGAGGAACACTGAGACTCGCCGATCAAACCCCAAGATGAGTCCACGTCAGAGCATAAAAAAAGCAGGACTGTCATTCACTCCCCCGCTCCTTCCCCCCAGGAAAATCCACCCCTGGAGCCGGGGAGGAAGGCAAAGCTCTTTCTCCTCAGTTACTCATCGCTCTGAATCACACCTCCCCGGGCACACCGCTGCTCAGACCAGCTCCGAGTTCATCAGAATCCACCTCTGTTTCCATATGGATCCGGAGAAGTCACACGGTTGTGCCTGAACAAGAACAAACACCACCCTTGATTGGCACTGGCAACTTTATGAGTTGAAACTAAGCCCCTCGCCTTCTCGTAAGGCATATTCTTCTTTCATGTGTGACAAAAGAAAAAAGAAAAAGAAAGGGGGATATAAATTTTGCCCCTAGCTACACTGCAAACCAATCGCAATTATAAACTGAAAAGCACTGGCTTAATTTGATCTCCCAGATGCTAAACAAGGATGCTTCAGGCATCACTCCCCCAAAGCCGAGCTCTCTGGGATTACAGCTGAGCGGAGCAGGGGAGCTGAGCCAGGTCCCTATTTCCGGCCTAGGGCCGAGCTCAGCAAGAAACCACGTTTTTAATGGCTTTTCAGGAGCCGTTTGGGACACACTAAATAAGGCGTCACATGCAGGCACTTCCGTGGAAAAACGAGGATTTTTCTCGTGGGTCTGAGCTCTGGCATTGATAGCGTGAAGCTTTAGGATGACATGGGGAAAAAAAAAAAAGAGAATTTAAGGCGTTACACCTGTTTCGGTGGAGAAGGGTAATGAGCCACGGCCTCCTCCCAGGGGCACTAGTGGCGGCACCGCTCCAGCAACTGCTTCCCACCGACCTGACCAGATCCACGAGGAAACACGAGAGGAACACCCGGCAGCGGCGTCTTCCCGGTGGCTCGGAGAAGGGTGGCACCGTGACACCTCCTCCA